ACACCCTACCTTGACATCGTCAGGCTAACCATAAATCCAATCAGTGTAAAAAACCATGCTCTTTTTGCAGAAGGGTAACAATTGTGAAATCCTGATTTTGGCAGGGTAATCCTGAAAAAGCGGCCGCCCCCAGGGTAATCAGGGCGTTTTACCCTGATATTTTGGGCCCTGATGCAAATGCAATTTGACACACCCCCATAGGCAAAATGGGGGCTAGCAAACACAACAGACGGTCACAAGGCCACTCAAGCAAGAGAACAAAGCAAAGCAAAGCTTAGGGTGGATCTCAAGATGACAACGCAGCCTGAACACAAGCAAGCGACCACAAGGCCAGTTCACATGCGGAGTTATAAAAGCACAAGCAGTACAGAGATCACAACCTAGCAAGAGAAAGTATGCAGGTATATAAGCATAGATCGCAGTACAAGACAAGTCAAGCAACCACCAGGTGAGGCAGAGTAGGCACTGTCAGAATGAGGAATGGATGGTGCCATTGATGTTGGTTGGGGTACATATAACAAACCCTAACTTCTGTACCCCCTAAGACAAACCTCACTATAGGCTACAACATTTGACACACCCCCATAGCCTAAGTGAGGGGTGTCTAGCAAAATCAAAAAGAGTACGGTCACAAGACCAGTCCAAAAGAAAACAAAGCTCAGGGTGGATCACAACGTCACCACACACTCTGAGCACAAGCAACAGTGGCCACAAGGCCAGTCCAAGAGATCACAAGTATATATAGCAAGAGTACAGACGAGAAGCAGCCAATAAACTCAAGCCTACACATGACTAGAACCTGTGTCAACAAGGCCTAACTGCACACAACACCTCTGGTGGTCACGAGGCGGAAGCGCCTTGGTGAAGATGTCTGCAGTGTTGGCCTCGGACTCCACAAACTCGAAGCGAGCCTGTCCACGCCTCTGCAACTCTCGCAGAAGAAAGTACCTGACGTGAATGTGCTTCACTCTGCTCTCCAGTCGCGGCTCACGACAGAGGAGGATCGACGCCTTGTTGTCAGTGAACAAGGTCGGTGCAGAGCTCTGCCGCTCACCAAGGTCGGCGAGCAAGAAGGTCAACCAACGCAACTCCTGTGCCGCCATGGCACCAGCGTAAATCTCAGCCTCAGCTGTAGAGGTCGAGACAGAAGAGGAGCGCGTGGAACGCCAGGAAACAGCTCCAGAACCCAGACTGAAACAGTACCCCTGAGTAGACCTGTGAGTCTCAGCGTCGTCAGCGTAAGAGGAGTCACAGTGACCAGTGAGTACGACAGACTGCTGCCCTCCAAGAACTAGCCCCACGCCTGATGTAGTCGCTAGGTACTTCGCCACCCTCACAGCTGCCGTCCAGTGAACAGGACGGTGTCTCCCTGGCGCAACAAAGCGCGCAAGGATGCTGAGAGGGAAGGCGAGGTCCGGGCGAGTACAAGTCATCAGGTACATGAGGCAACCCACAAGCTCTGCGTAGGGACCACTAGGCTCAAACGGCTCGTCAGGAAAGGGACCAGTGAGTCTGTGGTCAACAGCGAGAGGTGTGCGCTGTACGGTGGAGTGCTGAAGCCCGAACCGCTGAAAGACCTGCTGCACCATGTGTGACTGTGAGAGTGTAATGGTGCGAGCGGCTCTGTCCCTGGTGATCTGCAGGCCAAGGTAGTGGCGCAGCTCACCAAGATCAGTGCACGTGTGTCTCTTCTGCAGTTCGGACTTCACGTCTGCCAAAGCAACCCTGTCCGGAGTGGCGAAAACGAGGTCGTCGACGTAGACCAGAACAAAGAACGGTGTGGAGCCACGACGAACGAACAGCGACGGGTCGGCAGAAGACGGCTGGAACCCAAGGTCAGAGAGGGTAGAACGCAGAGTGTCGTGCCACTCACGAGGGGCCTGGCGAAGACCGTAAACAGGTCGCCTCAGCCTCCACTGGGTCCCAGGAGGGAAAGTGCCAGTGAAGGCCGAGGGACGACGCAACCAGACCTCCTCGTGTAGGCTGCCCTGAAGGAAAGCAGTGGAGAAGTCGAGAGAGTGTAACTCGTAGTCTCTCTGTGCTGCTACGTGTAGTAACACCCGAAGAGTGGTCATCTTCGGGGTAGGTGCGAAGGTCTGAAAGAAGTCAACTCCCTCGCGCTGACTGAAACCTCTAGCCACGTAGCGCGCCTTGAAGACCGGGGGAGATCCCGGTGGCCGCTTCACCCTGTAGATCCACATGCCGTCGACTACGTTCGCCCCAGGGGGGGGAACCTCAACGACGTAGGTGCCTGTGGATCTGTAGGAGGCCATCTCTGCGTCCATGGCAGCTCTCCACTGAGAGGCCCAAGGCCCTGACACTGCCTCAGCGTAAGTGCGAGGAGTCGGAATGTCAAGGGCGTCGGGGTCACCCTCAGGGGCGAGGAGCATGGCACAGAGAGATGGGGAAGCGGCCGCCAGGAACTCTAGCTCAAACTGCCTGTCCTCTAGGGCGTCACAGCCAAGGGCAGACACACCCCCGACGACCAGAGGACTGGTAGGAGGAGCAGTCACAAGCGTGGTGGCGTAGTCAAGGCGGCGGGTAGAGGCAAAGTCAGTAACCGCGGCAGTAAGAGCGGACACAGAGGACACAGAGACACGAGGGTGAGTAACAAGAGAGGCGAGAACACGAGAGAGAACAGGACGGTACATGCGGTAGTAGTCAGTGACAGGAGTAGGGAGCGACACAGTGAGGGCCGACTCAGGAGGAGACGGAAGCACAGACTGAGACGGACGAGGTGGACTAGAAAGAAGGAAGGCAGTACGAAGGTCAGTGAAGGGAACAGGAGACGAGGGACGAGCACGAGGGGAGCGACGAGTAGCCCAAGAACGAGACGGAGGAGAAGAGGACAAGGGCGGAGAACTGGGGAAAACAGCGGGGGAGGAGTCAGGAGGAGGAAACGTGGGACCGTAGACAGGAGGAGAGGCGGAGGAGGGAGGAGAAGGGGAGGGGAGACCAAGGATCCTAAGACCCGAGACAGGAGGAGGAAGTGGCTGCTGCTGCTGCGGCTGCGACTGCTGCTGCTGCGGACGCGGCTGCTGCTGGGACTGCTGCTCCTGCGGGTCCAGCTGCTGCTGCTGCTCCTCCAGCCGCTGTAACTCCCTCTCCTCTCTCTCCAACGCCAGCTGCTCGTCACGGGCACGGCGAACACGAGCCTGGTTCCTAGTCGGGTAGGGGTGGGGGGGTGGAGTAGTGTCCGAAGCAGCGGCAGCTCCAGAGTCCACCCCAGAAGAACTAGGCGCACCACCCCCAGAGGCAGCACTAACACCAGCTCCAGACCCAGGCTCACCTGAACCCGAAGGAGGCGCACCCTCACCCCCAGACGCAGCACCCCCAGTGGCCGCGCGACCAGCACCAGCTCCCGGACGACAAGAGTCCTCTGCACCCACCGGGACAGCTCCAACTCCAGAACCAGAAACTCCAGCTCCAACTCCAGCTCCAACTCCAGCACCCCCAGAACCAGAAACTCCAGTGCCAACTCCAGCACCAACTCCAGCTCCAACTCCAGCACCCCCAGAACCAGAAATCGGTACAGGAACAGGCGCAGCACCAACCTCTCGAGAGCTAGCACCAGCGGCACGCTGCGAGGAGGACTGTGGGGAGGGAGGCTGTACCGGAGGGGCTACCGAAGGAGGAGGGGTAGCCTGGGACACACCTGACGGGGCTGGACCAGGGGGGGGGGGCTGTACCGGGGAGCAGGAGGGGGGGCTGCAGTCAGGAAGAGGGGGGGAGGAGGAACCGGGAGACCTCGACTGGGGTACCTGACGTAGTACGGAGTGGACTCCTCGAAACGGACGTCACGGGAGTCAAAGAACCGGTGAGAGGGAGGGTGGTAAAAGGTGAAGTCAGAGGAGTCCTCAGGAAAACCAAGGAAGACACAGGGGACGGCACGAGGCGAGAGCTTGTCCGCGGAGGTGTCGCGGACAAGAGCCAAGCACCCCCAGACGCGAAACCGCGACGCAACACCAGGGGACCCTGTCCAAAGACTGGTCGGTGACACCTCTGGTCGAGAGACACGTGGCCAGAGGTTCAGCTGGTGCGCGGCGTACCTGACCGCGTAGGGCCACAGAAAATGGGGGGCACAGGCGTGAGTCAGGGAGGTGCGGGCGATCTCCATGACCAGGCCTATGCGGCGCTCAGCAACCCCATTCTGCTGTGGGGACTCTGGAAGCGTCCAGGACTGACGAATGCCCTGCTCGCGACAGAATCCAGCGAGAATGCCGGAGCGAAACTCACCCCCACGGTCGGAGTGGAGACAGCTGACACGACGACCACGAGTGTCCTCGGTGGTGAGCAACCACCTGATCAGCGTAGAAGTCACCTCAGACTTCTTCGCCAGAGGGAACACTGTGGTGTAGCGGGAGAAGTCGTCAACGACCACCAGAAAGTAACGCTCACGCTCAGGGCCTAGACGAGGGGCGGGGCCCCAGACGTCCAAGTGAAGCGTCTCAAAAGGCTCGGTGGCCGGACGTAGGGAGGAGGAGTGAGGGGTGGCGCGCAGCCGACCCTCGACGCAGGGACCACACGGCGGCGCAAGCGAAGGCGGCAGCGACGGCAAGACACGTGGGAGGCCTAGGACAAGACGCTGACTGGACATAGCGCGCAGACGAGGAAGGGACGGGTGCCCCATCCGGTGGTGCCACAGAACGGTGGGGTGGGCAAGTGACCGGCAGGAGCACGACGCAGCGACTGGAACAGACGTAGGAACCAGACACGACACAGACACCTGGGGGGACAAAGCAACCTGGTGAGACGCGGGGACCCGAACGGGGGGGGGGACCGGGGGCAGTGGCAGCTGGCAGTAGGGGGGGTGCTGGTGCGGCCGCTGGTGTGCTGCTGCTGCTGCTGCGGCTGCTGCTGCGGCGCACGCGGGCCAGTGTGAAGAGTGTAGAGACCCGAGCCCGGCTCAGCAGTAAAGGTAGCAAGAGGCTGGTAAGAGTCTCCGTCAACACACACCGCAGTCTCTCCAGAAGGCTCAAACCACACACCCACGTGCTGACTCACAAGGGGTCGCACGCCCACCAAGTTCCGGGAGAACGAGGGGACGTGAAACCCAGTGAGAGACCGGAGGGAGCAGCAGGACACGGTAAAGTGGTAGTGTGACGTGCAGTGACTGGTCCCGTAGTGGGATCAGCCAACGCAACAGAAACAGGCGCAGGAAGTGGTGTAAGTGTCGTGCTGTCCCGGAAGAAGCAGTGGGAGGCTCCAGAGTCCAGCGTGAACGACAGCGAAGCGTCCTCTGAGGTAGTCGCTGGTCTAGAGTCTACACAAGAACCTACACTAGCAACAGGCAACTGAGCAAGACTAGCACCTAAGCTAACAACACTAGAGTAAACAGAGTCAGAAACACTAGAGTCAACAACAGCATACATAGCATGAGGAGCACTAATCAGATCAACTAACTGCTCAGCAGACATGCCCCACAGAGCGGAGCCGTAGCGCTGAACCAAAGGAAGCCAGTCAGGAGCAGGACCGCCAACCCCGTAGGCCAACCGGACCGTGTCAGTGAGCTGAGCAAAGCACTGACCAGGGGGGTGAAAGCGGCCACAAGGGTGGCCCCGACGAGGACCTGTCAGAACCTGGTAGGGGCAGGGAGGGTAAGCAGTACCGCGGCTGGGGCTGACGCAGCCCCGACCCCGGAGCCAGCTGCTGACGGTGCTGCTGCTGCTGAGGCTGCTGGGAGGAAAGGGGCTGCTGCTGCTGCTGAAGGTGCTGCTGCCGCTGAGCCTGGTACCACGCCGCTGCTCCACCTAGCGGGGCCGGCAGTACAGGAGGCGACTGACGAGCTCGGGGGTCGCCGCCACCAGCAGGTGCAGTGGAGTCACCAGCCGCTGCACGAGGGGTCTCTCCAGACGCTGCACTCCCACCACCGCCAGTCGCAACAGCACCCCCACTACCTCCGCTACCTCCGCCTCCACCTCCACCAGAACCACCTTTCTTGCCCCCCCTGCCGCGGGACCGCGACGCAGTCGTAACAGCAGCCGCAGTCGCGTCAGTAGCGGCAGTGGCAAGAGAGGCAGTGAAGGTGGGTAACTGCGGGACTGTGCACCCGTGGAAGAGTGGGGGGGACACAGTACCAGAGGCGGCAGCTACCGAACGAAGGTTGCTCTCGACGTCCTTGAGTGCAGACTCAAGGACCTCGATAGTCAGCTCACTAGGGTGCTTCAGCAGAAGCGCGTCACGAACGGAGGCAAGGCGGTCAGGGAGGCTAGTGGCGATGAAATAGACAGTAATCGCCATGGGGGGAGGAAGCAGTGCAAGCTGTGCCTCAGTGCAAGCAGCGCGGTTCGGTGGTAACTAGCGTCGAGCTGAGCGGAGGTGAGCGATCAAGTCAGCAGAGCGCTTCAAACGAGGCGAGATCAGGAAACAGGAACGGGAGGGAAAAGACGGCCAAGAGAGACAGTAGCGGAGTAGAGTAGCGGGCCTTAATCGCAGTTGAGGTACGCAAGCAGCGGTGCGAACCTGAGTAAAGTGGACCTCCTCGGACTCAGGGAGGAGGCTGCTGAGTGCGATGCAGGCCGCAGCGTCACGCGACGTCCAAGCCGTCCGGTCAGCGCGCTGACGGGCAAAGCGAGCCGTAGTAGTGTCGTCAGGGGCAGGGCCTAAAGCTGGAGGCTCGGGGGGCTCGGGGAGGTCACCAGTAGCGTGCGACCAGAGGGTCTCGCCCCCCTGGACCTGACTCTCTAAACAGACGGCGAGCGGGAAGAAGCCAGACGGAAAAGTCAAGGGGTTTCTACCGTCAGCGTCGAAACGAAGAACTCGCGGAGTCGCCATAGTGAGAAACTAACGCAACGAACAGGCGAGTAACAACCGGAGGAAGAGGACTCAGTCGCAGCGGAAGAGCGGGCTAGGGCGACGGGCCAGGCGTGGGGGTAGGGAAACCGGCCGGGGCGTAGGGTAGGGCAACGGGCCCAGGGCTTAGGGTAGGGCGACGGGCCAGGGCGTAGGGAAGGGCGACGGGCCAGGGCGGAGGGTAGGGCGACGGGGCAGGGCTTAGGGTTAGGGCGACGGGCCAGGGCTTAGAGTAGGGCGACGGGCTAGGGCGGTAGGGCAGGGCGACGGGACGGGAGAGAAAGGGCGGGGAGCGACGCGACGGGGCAGGGCGACGCGACGGGGCAGGGCGATGGGACGCGACAGGGCGACGGGACGGGGGCAGGGCGACGCGACGGGGCAGGGCGACGCGACGGGACAGGGCGACGGGACGGGGGGGAACGGGCGGGCACGACGCGACGGGGGGGAACGGGCGGCACGACGCGACGGGGGGGAACGGGCGCGACGCGACGGGGGGAAAGGGCGCGACGCGACGGGGGGAGAAAGGGCGCGACGCGACGGGACAGGGCGACGCGACGGGGGGGGGGGGGGGGGGGGGGAAAGGGCGCTAGGTAACGGGGAGAAAAGGGCGCTAAGCGACGGGGGGACAAGGGCGCTAGGCTCGGTACTAGGCGTCGGTAACAACAGAACTGGTACGAACGAGAGGTAGGGTCAGGCTCGGGAGGTACGAACGGAGAACGGAGGAACGGGATCCCACAGGATCCTAACCTAGCTGATACCATGTCAGAATGAGGAATGGATGGTGCCATTGATGTTGGTTGGGGTACATATAACAAACCCTAACTTCTGTACCCCCCTAAGACAAACCTCACTATAGGCTACAACATTTGACAGGCACAAGGCCTAGAACATTGCAGAAACGATGATGACCACCAGACCCAAGGGCCTTGGTGAAGATATCAGCAGTGTTGGCCCGAGAGGCCACGTAAGCAAGTCGCAGCTGACCACGTTGCTGCAAGCTCTCGAGCAAGAAAGTAACGAAGAGCAATGTGTTTCATTCGGTGCTCCAGTCTCTGGTCCTGACACAAGACAATCATGGCCTTGTTGTTGACGTACAGAACTGGAGGAGAATGAGGCTGCTCAACCTGACAAATTATAATATTGTGTAGGCTATAGTGGGGTAGCCCATATGGGGTACACATTTCTAGGGTTGCATATTTGTATCACTTCCATTCCTTAGTCATTCATTCTCGTTCTACTTTTCTCATGGTATCGAGCAGGTTCCCCCTGGGAACTGTGCCTAGGGCCCACCACATCGAGTTCAAAAATTTTTCTCTCCCTGCCCGAAGCGCGCTCCGCCCCGAGTCGCGCTCCGGGCTCTCACCTCGCCGAGCCGCCCTAGCGGCCCCCTACGCCCTAGCGGCCCCTTCCCCTAGCGGCCCCGCCGCCCTTTGTTTCGGCCCCGCCGCCCTTTAGTGCGGCCCGCCGCCCGTCACAGCGGCCCCGTCGCCCCGCATCGCGTCCCTGCCGCCCGTCTCTGCGGCCTCGCCGCCCGTCGCTGCGGCCCCCGCCCCTGCTCAGCGACCGCGCCGCCCTTCTCCTCAGCGGCCCCCGCCGCCCTGCTCAGCGGCCCCCCCGCCCCTACTCAGCGGCCTCGCCGCCCTTCTCCTCAGCGGCCCCGCCCGCCCTACTCAGCGGCCTCGCCGCCCTTCTCCTCAGCGGCCGCGCCGCCCTACTTAGCGGCCCCGCCGCCCTACTCAACGGCCCCGCCCGCCCTTCTCCTCAGCGGCCCCGCCGCCCTACTCAGCGGCCCCGCCGCCCTTCTCCTCAGCGGCCCCGCCGCCCTACTCAGCGGCCCCACCGCCCCTACTTAGCGGCCCCCGCCGCCCTTCTCCTCAGCGGCCCCGCCGCCCTACTCAGCGGCCCGCCGCCCTTCTCCTCAGCGGCCCCGCCGCCCTACTCAGCGGCCCCCGCCGCCCTTCTCCTCAGCGGCCCCGCCGCCCTTCTCCTCAGCGGCCCCGCCGCCCTACTCAGCGGCCCCCGCCGCCCTTCTCCTCAGCGGCCCCGCCGCCCTTCTCCTCAGCGGCCCCGCCGCCCTTCTCAGCGGCCCCGCCGCCCTTCTCCTCAGCGGCCCCCGCCGCCCTGCTCAGCGGCCCCGCCGCCCTACTCAGCGGCCCCGCCGCCCTTCCGCAGCAGCCTCGCCGCCCTTCTCAGCGGCCCCAGCCGCCCCTCGCACCAGCGGCCCTGCCGCCCTACACCGCCCGCGCCGCCCGAGCCGCTCGAACCGCCCAAGCCTCCCGAGCCGCCCGACCTGCCCGAGCTGCCCGAGCCGCCCGACTCTCCTGAGCCGCCCGAGCCGCCCGAGCCGCCGAGCCACCCGAGCCGCCTGAGCCGCCCGAGCCGCCTGAGGAGCCGAGCCAAAGGGTGCCACGGAGCCGCAGTTGCTGCAATGCCGTCCGAGCAGCCGTGTTGCCGTGCTGCTGTACCGCAGAGCTACCCGACCCGCCCTGCCTGGTGAGAGCAGCGCTTCTGTCACTACACTGCCCCTGTCCTACAGTTGGTACTGCTAGTCCACTGTTGTCATGGCTACCCCCAGTGTTCTCGCTTTTGACGCTGAGGGTCGAGCCATTGACTTTGAGGTTTGGGTGGATGACCTGCAGCTTTCCTACAGTGCGATTAGGGCAGACGGTCTTTCCCTCTTTGACCTCACCTCTGGTGCTTCCCCTGCCCCTGCTGCCGATGCCGACGCCGCTGTTCGCTCCCAGTGGGCCACTCGCGATGCTGCTGCACGTCTTGCTGTGCGTCGCCACCTGCCTACCACTGAGCGCACGCACTTTAGTCAGTACAAGAGTGCTCAGACCTTGTACGACGCTGTCGTTGCACGCTACTCCTCCCCTGCCACTGCTGCACTGAGCCGCCTCATGCTACGTACCTCTTTCCTGACCTTGCTGCCTTTCCCACAGTCGCTGACCTCATTACGCACCTCCGCACTAGTGACACTCGCTACCGCGCCGCGCTTCCAGCTGAGTTCTGCGCCAAGAACCCCCCCCCCCATGTACATCACTCTCTATTATATAGTCACCCGCCTCCCTGACTCCCTTCGTGTAGTCAGGGACCACTTCCTCTCAGTCTGTCCCACCACTCTCACTGTTGACCTCCTAGAGAAGGCCCTCCTAGCGGCGGAGAAGAGCATAGTCGCTGTAGGAGCCTCTCGTGGTGACCCTCGCACCCCCATCTTTGAGGGGTGTTCCCCTTCCCCCCTGTTGCCCTCTGTCGCCTCTGCTGCTGCGGCCGACCTCGTTGGTCTTGAGTCGGTCGGCTGCGGCGTCTGCCCCTAGCGGGAGACGCCGCTCTGGCAAGGGCAAGGGGGGCAAGGGCGCGGGTGGGGCTAGCGGGGGTGGTGGAGGTGGCGGTGGAGGCGGCGGGGGGGAGTGGGGGTGGCGGTGGGGGTGGTGGCGGGGGTGGAGGTGGTGGTGGGCAGCGGCGGAGGCGGAGGCGGCGGGTGACGGCGGTGGCGGGGGAGGTGGAGGCGGCGGTGGCGGAGGAGGTGGAGCTGGTCGGGGTGGTTCTTCTCAGCGGAGCGGCTCCGGGAGTGGTCAGCACCAGCAGCAGCAGCGTTCTCGGGACATCCCCCCTCCTCAGCAGCTCCGTGAGTGGTACACGCAGCGTCAGCGTGGTGGGGGGTTTTGGCCCGTGCACCTACGTCCTTCGCTCCGGCGACCGCCGCGGGTGAGCAGTGTGGGGGTGCTCACCCCCACCCAGCGCTGCTTTGGCCGCCTGACGGACGCTTGGCGTCAGCAGTTCCCAGAGGCTAGTGAGATCCCCCGCTGGGGAGAGCTGTCTAGGGCAGGCGTAGCTATCTTTGATCTTGACTTTGATGCTATCCTTGCTGCCATGTATGCTGTGACTATTAGTGATGAGGGTGACTGTTACCGGTGTTTCCCGCCCGACCCGGGCATTGGTACTGCTGCTCTAGGTACTGGTGAGGCTACTGCTCTAGGTGCCAGTGCGTCCGCGCCCTCAGGTGCTGGTGAGTCTGCACTCTCAGGTACCACGTCGGCTTCGGCCTCCCTCACCTTCACACTTGACTCAGGGGCTTCTCGCTCCTTCTTTCGAGACCGCACCACACTCACGCCGCTTGGTCGGCCAGTTGCAGTCTCCCTGGCACACCCCTCTGGGGGTCCTGTCCTCTCTCACTTCTCCACTGTCCTCCCGTGTCCGGCTGCCCCCTCTGGCACCTTGTCTGGTCTTTACCTCCCCTCGTTCTCTACGAACTTGGTGAGTGGTGCTGACCTGCAGGATACGGGGGTTCACCAGTTCACTCTTGCGAGTCAGCGGGTGACCCACTGCACGGACGCTCGGACAGGCCGACACCTGGCCCCGTTTACACGTCGGCCGGGGTTGAGCCTGTAAACACTGACCGATGCGTCTCCTCCAGTCACTGCGTCTGGTCAGGTAGCTGCGTCGGG